GAACTGGTGAGCTCAAGCAATCCACTGGCCTTGGCCTTCTAGAGTGCTGGGATTACAGGTGTGAGCTGCTACACCCAGCCTAGAGTAATTTATATTTTATTTCTTTGTAATAGAATCACTATGTCACCCTCGGTAGAGTGCTGTGATGTCACAGCTCACAGCAACCTCAAACTCTTGGGCTGAAGCGATTATTTTGCCTCAGCCTCCCAAGTAGCTGGGACTACAGGCACCTGCACAAGGCCTGGCTGCTGTTGTAGTTTTCGTTGTTGTTTGGCAGGCCTGCGCTGGGTTCAGACTCGCCAGCTATGGTGTATGTGGCCAGCAACCTAGCTGCTGAGCTACAGGTGTTGAGCTGGGTTATTTATTTATTTTTATTTATTTTGAGACAGAGTCTCAAGCTGTCACCCTGGGAAGCGCCATGGTGTCACAGCCCACAGCAACCTCAAACTCCTGGGCTCAAGGGATTCTCCTGCCTCAGCCTCCCAAGCAGCTGGGACTACAGGCGCCTGCCATAATACCTGGCTATTTTTGTTGTAGTTGTTGTTGCAGTTGTCATTGTTGTTTTAGCTGGCCCAGGCTGGGCTCGAACTCGCCAGCCCTTATGTATGTGGCCAACGCTCTACCCACTGAGCTATGGGCACTGCCTGGGTAATTATTTTTAATAAGAGATGTTTATGGGTTGGACACAGTGGTTCACACCTGTAATCTCAGCAGTTTGTGAGGTCAAGACAGGAGGATTGCTTGAGGCCAGAAGACCAACCTGAGCAAAAGCAAGACTCCATCTATACAAAAAATAGAAAAATTAGCTACAAGTGGTGGTGCCTGCCTGTAGTCTCAGCTACTCAGGAGGCTGAGGCAGAAGGTTAGCTGAGCCCAAGAGACGGAAGTTGCTGCAGTGATGCCACTGAACTGGAGCAATAATAATGAGATCCTGTCTCAAAAAAAGAAAAGAAGAGAAAAAGAAAAAGAGGATTATTTTCTAGCCTGGGAAGTACGAAGAAGCATGCCAGTGGCATCTGGTAAGTTTCTGGCAGAGCTTTCTTGCTGTGTCACAACATTGCAGAAAGTCAAAGGGAAGCAGATGTGTGAACAGGCAAAGCCAAGGGGCTTCTGGCTTCACAACACACTGAAAGGGTGGAAATGTTCACTGCTGCTCGGGAAAGAATTGTCTCAGGCAAAGTTTAGGATAGAAAATAGCATGCAGTTTATTTTCCAGAGAAAGAAAGAAAGAAAATGATAGCAAAAAAAAAAAAAAAAAAGAGAGAGCACCAAGCCAAAAAGGGAGAAAG